AATAATATTTGTTGAGTTGCATAAAGATGAGAAAAAAATTATGAAAAAAGCATGAATCATCATTATTGGGGCCGTATATGTTCGCAAGTGTATATGTTGTCTGGTTAATGGATACCTTAATAATTATAAATCTGCCTTCTGGATCAGTGATAGATGTATTATGAATTAATGGGATATTTTTATTAATTAAAATTGAGCTGCCCATGTTCACCAGCTGAACTCATGAGGCTGCAGAGAGCAGTACATAAGCTGCAGTATCTACCTGACTTGAGCAAATAAGATTCTGTCACGGTCGGGAGCTGAACTGAATCTGTGTGCTAACTGACAATGAGCCAGGTGGCTCACCAACATCAGGTTTTCCTCACCCCTCACCTCTTTGCCACCTTTAAACATCACAGATGAACCTGGTTTGTCAACTTGAGTGCAGCCTAATGATGTCACGCTGCAGGATTTTCATCTGTTCAACGGTTCGTTTACTGAGTCGCCTGCTGCAGCTTTAGACCATACAACAGGAATTTATTCCATTTACCACAGCTTGGTTTTAATCACTACACCTAATGATGTGGACTAACAGAGAAGAGTGAAACTCATTCAGTCATTCATTTTCTACTGCTTAGTCCCTGAAAGGGGTCGGGGGTGTTAGGGTGATTTTTATTTTTAAGTAGATATGAATAGAATTAGTTAAGGTTTTTATTTTATAGCATACATAAGTCTATATACTTTCATCTCACAGTTATGTTTATGTAGTTACACATCACCCTATGTGTTCACTGAATCACTGGTCAATATTTACTGTGTTAGCCAACTGGAACACCGTTTAACATCAAAGGGACTGGTTCACCAAAACACTGAATCTCATTAGATTTACAGCTTTGGCAAAGAGGGTCCACAGTTACTTTACTATCACCACCTGGCAGATGAGCCCAGGGGAATTAGGGTTCACTGGGACACTATGGTCAGTAAACAGAGATTAGATCTGAAGCCAGGAAGAGGAGAAAACGTCATAGGTAGAACCATATGCTCACACACAGGCAGAGCAGTTTTAATTGGAGCCGGAAAGCAATGCCTAATATGGAGCAGTTAGTTGGAAACAAAGGAAAAAGTAAGTGTCTATGTAGGAAGTATAGGTATTCCTGCCCTTTTTAGGGCGTTGTTCATGCCCATTGGAGCAGAGAGGACGATTGGAGGACGGACGGACTGAAGGACCAATCATGGGAGAGTTAAGTCTAAACCACGGCTTCTCCCCAACAGTTTTTGACCAATTGGATAGTAGCACCTTTTCATACAAATATTGTATAACGG